TCTGGGACCCACTGCTGTTCACACAAGCGCCAAAGTCAACACTGCTTCACCTCCATGAAGACAACGGCTCCAAAGCAGTTGCCAGAACTTGATGGAAGCCCCTGAAAAGGGATTGCTTAGCCTGGAGAAGTGAAGATACAGGAAGGAGCTTGGCAATGTTTATAAATATCTGATAGGAGGAAGTAAAGAAGGCAGTGGCAGGCTCTTCTTGATGGTGCCCAGTGACAGGACAGGAGGCAATACGCACAAACTGAAACACATAAGGTTTCATTTACTTATAAGGAAACACTTTTTTACCGTGAAATTGGTCACACACTGGCACAGGTTGCCCGGACAGGCTGTGGAGTTTCCATCCTAGGAGATATTCAAAACCTAAATGGAGAGGGTCCTGAGCAACCTGCAGGTCTAAGGGACTTTGCTTTGGGCAGGGGGTTGGACTACACCATCACCAGAGGCTCCTTCCTGTCTCAATGATTCTATGATAAGAAATCAAGCAAAACATTAAAAATTACCCAGAATTCTGTGCATTGTACCTATACTGCAGACTTACAGCAACTTCTGTCCTAGAACAAAAATTTGGAAGTAATTCTATAAGGGGTAACGACACAGAATTTTTCTGAAGGGGAAAAAATAAAATCAGTAAAGTAAGAAAATTAAAAAAAATGTTTATTTCTTTCAGTAAGAAACTCTCTAGCTCACTGTTTAAGTCTTTCATCCGGATCACTTTCACAAAGCTACAAGGCTGATGACAATAAAACAATGAGAAACTTACTTTTGTATCTAATATTAAACAGCTGTGTTTATTAATAAATACAGGACAAAACCTGCCAAGAACAAGAGTGGCATTTTGCAATAATTTTCCAGAGCAGCTGTTATGATCGTTCAAGGAATATGAGTGCTCCTATTAACATGCACAAAATTATTCACATATTCAGCATTATGCTTCAGCATTTTGCTGCCTTGCTGCTTATTGGCCTTTGTATTTTATAGGACACTTATAATAGGATCACAGATAGTGCATGGTATACAAGGATGGCCCCCATCACTAAACAGAAATCTGTTATGCATGTAACACTTTAAGGAGGAAAGTACTTCATATCACTTCAGAGCATGAAATTTTCTGAAATATGTATTCTATTTCATGCTTAGTTGTGCATAAATTGGCATAAAATCTTAAGATAGCTCTCATGAAATAAAATTAAAACATTACTTATACTGTGCCAGCACTTACATTTTATAACAACAGAAGCACACAGCCCTGCTGGTTCTGACCAAATGTCCAGCTCTCCAAATACTGTGTCTTGTGCACAGCCATAAGTAGACAGGAAGGGAAGAGTAAGGACAGGGCAGGCATATGAAATCTCTCCCCTGCTACTAATCCTGTGTCAAACCACTCTTGGCTTGGGGGATTTTCTGAGCCTATTATAGTTTGCCATAATAATAATCTTCAATAGATCTCCCTTTAAAGTTCCTTCTGTGAACTTGAGAAAACTTCTCCCACCCACAGCAACACTAGGTAAGGTCTACTGATCACTGTCTGGAGAACTACCTGCTTCATCTGATCTGAACTTAGCTCCTTCTGAGAACAATGAAGCCATCATCCAAAGAGGAGGCAACATCACAGTGCAGCCATTCCCATGATGTGATTTGGGGCAGTGAATACATAGGTTAGGCCACAGAGCTGCTCTGGGCTGTACTAGCACTACAAAATCCTGATCCCACCCACAAAATCTCAGAACATGTTCTGACATTATATGTTCCACGTGCTCTATCATGCTTCAAGTAAGTTTTCTTCATCTGGTTTCAAAAAAACACTTTTACAATTAACTAGTATTGCAGTATTTTGTATTTTCTTTTCTATGTGCTTTCTTTTAGGATTATTTCTCAAAAATAAAACCATTTTGTCAATGAATTAATTATTGTCATAAACAGTTGTAAAACTCTGACATTTATTTCAAAGGGAAAATTTTGTCATGTGTAAAAGGTTCTAAACAGCTTGAAGAAAGCCACTTAAAACTCTCTTTCTCTTTAGAAAGTGGTGATAATTAAATAAATTATGTAAGCGTGAGTTTTCCGTTACTGAACTCAATAGCAGTGCCCCCAATAGCTTCTGTAATACAGGTTTCAACACTAGATTTTGCTTCATTCATCAGGAGCATAGAAGTGGAGCATATGGAAGCTGCAGGAAGGCTATCACCTTAGGTATTGATATTAAAAAAGCTGCTTCTTTCCCCTTAGAACTTGCTAGAGATCAAAGCACTCCACAGAAGTTGTCAGATTGGGATAAGCTTCTAAGCCTAAATATGATATGAAGTTTACCCAGTTTCCTGCCTTCTCACCTGCTCAGTGTTTCTGATGCAGGGCCATAAAGGTGCCATGCAAGTACATGGTTGCAGAGAGATTTTCTGCTTGATCATTTCTGACCACTGTGCTTTCCCTCTACAGTTCATGGAATATGAGATCAAACCTAGACCTAGGATGCCAAAGACAATTGGTTAAGCTGGTGCTTGTTCTATTTCAATCATTATGCTAGGATTAACTCTACTTTGTTTCGGCAGAATTACTATCATTGCAAGGCAGGACAGTAACTTTTTATTTTTTTTCCTTCTGGAAAGGGCACATTTAGGCATGCAGATCTTTTAGACAAAGGATGAAGAGTCACATAAGATGTGATTTGAAGACGAGAACTCTCCACATAATGGTATATGATAAAAGCTATCCCCTTTTTTTGGCAGCTACAGCTTACTCTTCCTCGCCCACTCACCAGCTGTTATTCCTCTGTATGTGAAATGCATCCAAATCATTTCACATATATATAAAAACCCCCCAAAATAACAAAAACCCCAAACCCAAATCAAGTTAATAATAGAGCAATTCAAACATATGACGACATGACATCCAGAAAAACAGTCACTTTAGTCATTCAACTGATCAAGTCAAACACCACATTGTTAGAATTTGATTAGCAGCCATTGCAGAGATTGAGCAATGGCACAATGGAGTGGAAAATCTTCTGGAGAATGAGACAATGGAGACAAATGGAGCTAGGAGACAATGACAGAGCTGTAGCTTGTGACGTTGCCTATCCTTCCTCTCCAGGTCGTTCACAGCCTCTAATGGCATAAGAAAAAGACATCTTTCAAAAGTACAGTTCTGTATGCTTAGAATAATTTGAAAATTACCCATGCGCTGACTTTGAATGCACAAAATCCTTAGAAAAGGATACAAAGTTTTCATGTACAATTTAATTGTCCACATTTTCACATAACTGCAAACTATTTCAGAGGGATAAAGATGACAACAACCCATGTCCACAATGACAGAACCTGATAAAAGTTTTGTCAGTCATTCAGTACTGAATAAATAAACTTTAAATGATGTAAAATAAAATATAAGACCATCAAACGACTTCATTCACTAGGCCTGGGACCTACTTCACCTATGGTGATTCATGGGGACTTTGCAATAGAAATTTATCAGGGTAACGTTGCTTTGATTACTGTGGGAAATCACTCTTGTGCTTTAAACTCATACAAAATTATTCATAACTATATCAACATATTTGCAAAAATAACACAAAGAAATCTGGTTAAAACATATATTATCTTGTTCCACATAAATAAAAATAATGGCAAAATTTTCTTTGTTTTGATTGTGTACGGTAACAGCTCTCCACTGTTAGCTTGTATCTTTGTTATGGACCTATTATTACTTAACTCCTACTGCTCAGCTGTCTCTCTGTATAAGGTATACAGAACATATACTAACAAATTAATCCCCATAACAAATGTGTTTTTTCCATCTGTCCCTAAAAATCAAGGTTTCAGAGACATAAACTTCAGAAACTGATGTCAGAAGGAAATAACTTGCCTCTAATCTGAGGCAATAATTAATCAATATTCATTATTCAAAAGCCCTTATCCAAGCAATCAACACTAAATAGCAATTTAAGTTCTAAAAGTGTAA